AAGAAACTGGAGATATTTATAGTTGTATTAGAAATGATGACACAGTCACTCTATATAATGTCTACAGTGTGTGCATGTAGACACAATTGGCCGTAGATTGGTCACTCACCAGGTGGGAACCTCCGTAGTGAACGCTGGACATCCAGCAACACCTGGTTGTAGTCTTTGTTATTTTCTCGGTCTACAGTGTCTGAAAAAAATGAAAATGTTGCCACCAGCAATTACTGTATGATGCATTGACTGCTAGCCTTTGTATTAGGAGGTGAAAAAGAGGCGAGACGCGCAACTGCATATCGTCAACAATTATAATACCTGGCTCTTGATTCAAGACATCAAGGGGGACGTTGAGGAGCTTAGGCCAAACCTGGCACCGTATCTCATCGGTCAGCAGTCCTCCTTCACTGATAGCCATCCTCCTCAGAGCTGCTACGTCCACTGGACTCACACTCAGTGCCTGTGTGATATCCGCTATTTTCCTCTTCCGTCTGGTGTCCCAGTCTAGACAACATTGTTTCACTGTTAGAAGCTATGCTCCCACATTTGTTTATTTATTTGTTAGCAAAGCGCCCCGAAGTGTACTCAAACAGTTGACATGACACAGTTAGCGACCGTTACCTTGCTTTCCATTCACTGGCGACGATGCTCCAACATTTCTAGACTTCTTCATGGTGTCTGTACGTCTTGATGCGTCCTCGTTAGATAGCACTACTTTCCATTCTCCCTAGTTTTTGCTAACTCCGATTTAGCCTTGCGTGGCTGTCAATGAAAACTGTTTAATTAGCAATGCTAGCCCCATGAAAACACGGCCTGGTAGATAACTAGCTATTCAGTGTTAGCTATTTACTAAGCTCGTGCTACACTGCCCTGGTTCCATAACGGCTATTTTTAGGAACACAGCCATCATTGCTGGGACCACTGACAAACAGGTTAACAACCGCCTACCAGCACTTGGATTAAATCGAAAAACCGGCTACATGTTTACATTGGCGGAAGCAACCAAGTATACAGCTGATACAGTTAGCCTAGCCGCTCATACGGAGTGATGACGTAGCAGGAAAAAAAAAAACAGGAAGAGGAGGAGGGGTCGACCCAATTTTTACTGTAAAGAAACGAAACTTTAGAAACAGGAAAACACTAACAAAAAAACCATCAGGCAATACTTATCTACCGGGTTTATATAATACATAAACTAGAACTGTCTGCAAACTGTGTGGAACAGTATTTTCCTTGATATAAAATTATGACTTAACAACCAATATATAATGATAATAATAAAAATGATAAACAATTCTGAGAGATTGTGGTGCTGTCTAAAATCTTTTTTTAAGTAAATGATAAACTTAAGCAGGCCTAATTTGGAAATTAGCGGAAGCAAAAATGCGTTTATAACAAATATAAGAATTAAATGTGATCAAAGATGAAAAAAATACAACGCTATAAAAACCCGCAGTCTATTCTTGCTACTTATTACTTAGGATGTTATTATTATTAACTAGACTAGACTTCCATAGTTATGCAATACAGTGCTTCCTGTTTCATTTATTTAAAAATAATAACATGTGTGCCCAATATCACATTAAAATAAACCTAAATTTTACATGGTCCTAGATAGTCATGCTTTTCAATTAATTTAATGCTCTCTCTATCTTTAGTCAAGGATAAAAGGACAAATCCATTCTGTCTTCTAGGTGGGGTGTTAGTTCTGGAGAAACGAAAACGAAAATGACAAAGCACTTAAATAGCAGGTTGCTGAAGTCGACAGCCGGAGAAGAGGCTGCGATGAGCTTGCGCACAGACCGAATGAGAGACGGCTAGACAAAGTTTGACCAGGAAAATATTCATGTTGGTCGGATGTCACGCTTGGTAAGTTCGTTCTTTTCTTAGGCTATCGCTTATCTAGGAAGTGTTTAGGATACAGAGTTATTTGTCTTATTGTATTTTCTTATTTAGTAAATAATAATAGCGTGTACACTGAGAACAGTGATGCGAACTGATAGCTAAAATTGCAAGTCATATAGCACACGACATGTAAAGTCATTGACAGACAGACAGACAGACAGACACATAAAAGGCAATATGAATGGTATAGCTTGTTTGGAGGGCAGCCAGCCTGTGGAGTGTTATTATTGGCACATCCGTGACTAAGACTTGCGGTGTAAACCTCTGAATCATTTCTTGAAAAAGGAAACCTGTCGGGCAATATCCAGCAGAGGGAAGACTTTGCATTTCATAAGAATTCAGTGCAGTGGACAACATTAGAATAAAACAAATATGGCACGTTTCGTTTATAGCGCACACCAACAAACCTACAACGATGGACATTGAAATATAGTCGCAAAGCACGCGCGCGCGCGCACACACACATACATATCCATTCATCCATGAACTCTATTAGCTTTGATTCCCCCAGATTTTACTGATGTAATCAATGAGAACATCCTTTCTATCTGACGCTGACTCACTACAAGTTATGACCCAGTGATAGAGAGTGAAAGTAATCACTGTTCCTCAATCAGTGCTGTGTTGTGTTTTCTATTTTAATAGACTCCTGACAAAATTTCTAAATCATTGTATTGTTGCATTGTGCTTTAATGTAGTTCTTCTCCTTCCTCTCACTATTAAATCATCAGTGTTACTGGTCTTAAGTTCATCATCTACCACATGCACAACCATGGAAAGCTTGATTTTAATGACTGGGAGAAGCGGACCTAATAATGGTAATTATACAGTATGTGATGGCAGTCACATAAAAAACTGAGAAAATCTGGCAACAAAAATTTGTTACTTTAGTCTCATTACATAAATGTTATTTTTCCCCTAGATACTGATACTGTCCAAAGTGAGAATGCTCGCCGAGGTGGAAGGAGAAGACGAAGGGGAGCACAAGGAGACAGAGAAAGAGCACAAAGTCATGGGAGTAGTCAAGGTGAAAGGGAGGAAAGGAAAAGAGACAGTGAAGAGCTCCGTGGGAGAGGAAGGGGAAGAGGTGGTGGAGCAGGAGGAGGTGCAGAGAGAGGTAGAAGAAGAGGAGCAATAGAGGTGGGCCGCAATACAGAAAGGGGAGGCAGACAAAGAGGTGCTGGAAGAGATAGAAATGAATGGGAAGGTGCAGAGAGATGGAGATCAGAAGTAGGAAGAAACCCAGAAGCAGGTCCGGTTGTTAGACTAGGAGCGAGAATGGGGATGGCAGGGAGAGAAGAACGTGGAGACAGAAGAGAAGGTTGGAGGGGTGAGAGAAGAGATGTTGAGGGAGACAGGCAAGATAGAAATGGAAGGAGATCAAATTCTGCCAGCACAGCTAGGCCACCACAGGGCCGAGGACTGGGCTTTAAAGCCCTGGAAGAACTCTCTCTAAAAGACCCATCTGTAGTGGCCATTACCATGTCCTCACATCCTTCTGTGAAAGATCTCCTCAGTGAGACCAAAATAAGGCAGGATCTTATCGAACTCATTTGCTTGGTGCTGAGTAAAGCCTTTAAATCAAGGACAGACAGAGGCACTCAGCAGCACCTGGCTGGCATTATAAAAGATTCAGGGTTCTTCTGCACCTCTCTACCCCACTATCTTGTGGGGATGGTGTCAGATAGCAAACCTGCTCGCAGAGCACAATACCCACAGCATCTGGAAAATATCCTGGTGATTCTCTCACAGGTAAATAAACTGATGAAACATAGAAAACCTGACAAAACATAGGAAATTCAGCTGAAGGATAATTGATTTTATATCTGAAAAACATATGAGGAAATTGCTCAATAGATGAAGCAATAAAGTACAAGGGGAATTCTACTATGTACAAACAGTGTGTATACTGTAATGTACTTCATACACTAAAATACAGACCAGTGAGATTTTTTTTACATGTACATACAGTGCAGTGGGAATGATAGTGTAATATATAAATCACATTTATTTTTATTTTTCCTGTGTGCAAAGAGAAAAAGGCATAATGAAAGATACAGTTATTGAGAAAATCAGATTACACAGATGTAAACAAACCTTATTTAGGCATTTCTGTTTTTATTTCCTGTGCTTTTTATTAACAGTTTTAAAGTAGCTCAATTCTTTTTTCCTTGTTATGTTTATTAGGTGCTTAACATCTTCCCTGCTAGTTCGGTTCATACAGTGAGTTTGTTACTGACACTGCTCCAAGCCTCCATTAACAGCCTGAGGGCATCAGGTGTGGACTTTCAGCCTCAAATTGAGGAAAGTGTGGAGCAACTTCAGGACCTGATCACACACCTCCAGAATAGAGCAAGAGAGGGTACCCTGCGCTCAGACAGAGACACATATGCATTCCTGCCCTCTGGTGGTGGTAACCCAGGTAACTGGCTCTTAGAGATATTTCTACTGAAATCAGTTTGTTTTTACATATTTGGATAGATTGTCCTGAAGCAAATACCATGCAGTTGGCCAGAAAAAAAATCTTTTTGTAAGGTTTTGAAATGTTAGTATAGATCGGACAGTTATTAATACTTCCACTATTTCTAACCTAGATGATGAAGATCAACAGGATTTCAGGACCATACCAATCTACCCAACTCCACAGGAGTTCCGACAGGAGCATAGGCCTTTCCTTAGACCTAACATTACCTCCCAGAGCTACACAAACACCCACCTCTACCTTGATACACACTTCCGGCTGCTCAGAGAGGACTTTGTGCGACCACTGCGTGAGGGGATTCAGCAATTGCTCCAGAACCAAAAAGATATCGGAAGGACCAACAGCCCACTAAAGACAAAGCGCTTTGATGATATCAGAATATATTTTGACGCACAGCTAGTGGTGCCCAAATGCACACACACTGGCATTGCCTACATTGTCCAGTTTGACGCACAGCCACTTAAGGTTAGCTTCTGGTTGTTGATGTCTTTGTAAAATGGCATTTGAATGATGCAGTAAAGTATATTCTGTGTCACTGATGTGTTAATACATACACTGGTCATTCACTATTTAAATGGCAAATGTAAAGACATATATAAACATGTATATTACTAACAGGTTGTCCATTTTTCCCACAGTTTGTACGCTGGCAGAACTCCAAGAGATTGCTTTATGGCTCCCTGGTATGCCTGTCAAGTGATAACTTCGAGAGCTTCCTGTTTGCCACAGTGTCAGATCGAGACCCTGAACATCTGCAGGAAGGACTGGTCCAGATTACATTTACAGAGGAGAGCAGGTTAAAGCTGGCAAGGATTGAGGTAGAGTAATACATTGTTTGCACCATATGTTAAAATGGGCATGATGCATTCAGTTTCTTTGCATAAATGTAAGAAATATCTGTGATCATTTGAAACAGAAATACAAAGAACAAAATGTGTTTTTTTTTAAATCACAGAAAGATCGAGTGTTTCTGATGGTCGAGACCACTGCCTACTTTGAGGCTTATCGGTATGTTCTAGAGGGCTTACAGGAGCAGAGGGAGGATGATTTGCCCTTTCAAAGGTAAGGATGTGTGTCAATGTGCTGCCCTGGACTTTCAGATTTTACTGTCAAGTTTTTCTTTAATAAAATCCAAAAGTTATTTCAAAACAATTAACACCACAAATATTTTTAAAAGAGTTTTGAGTGAGAAAATAGTAGCAAGAAGGGTTTGACAGCGGTTTTTGGAGTAAAAGTGTCAAAGTAAGTTCAGCATTCACTTTAATTTATCATATCATCTCACAATTCCCCAAAAACGTTTACATATGGATCTTTTCAATACTTCAAATATTGCAATCACCTTCAGTACCCTTAACAAATACTGAAAAATATTGTTTTATATTTGTTGCCTAGCAGTATCTCTAAATGAAACTCCATTAAACCTTTTCTCTCAGAACTACAACATAAAAAAGGGTGTCAAGGCCACACTTGACTAGTTTGACAAGTAAACTAGGAAAACTCATGTAAGTGCCTGCAGCAAAGACCAAGAGACATAGGGTGTCTTTTGCTGCTGCTATTATCATGGTTAATACCACTAAACCATAAGGGTTGTTGCCATTGCACACTGCACTTTGTTGATGATAAAATCTGGGCTGTTCTGTCTGGGCTTTTTTGGGGTGTTTTTTGTTTATTTTTGTCTCTCTGTGTATGGACAGACTGCAAATCAATTTCCCATTGGGGACAATAAAGTTACCGTTGACAACTGAAAGTTCCCATTGACCGTTGAAACCTGATTTTAACAGCACAGTTTCTGTAGTTAAGCAAAAGTCCTTGCGATATTGAAACACTGATTTATTCTTTAGGGAGAGATTTTCTTTAAAGAAATATATTACTAAGGATCTTTAATTCTTCCAGGTACATCGTGGAATGCAAGACAGATGTCCAACCGCCAGCTTATCTTCGAAGAAATGATAATTATGACTTGTCATCTGTTGCTGACCCCGACTACAAGGCCAGAATACGGCCCTTTCACAGTCTGAAGACAGAGGCCTGGCCAAGGATGGAGGAGTTGGGTCTGGATGAGTCTCAGATGAAAGCCTTCCAGCTGGCCCTCACAAAAGAACTGTCTATCATACAAGGACCTCCAGGCACAGGTAAGAAATTGAAAGACCATTGTTAGTGAGTTTTTCGTTTTTATTTGTTGAATGACAGAATTTTAAGAAGTGCAAAGTTAAGTTTTCTCTAGCAAAAATCAACATGTTTTTTGGCCTCAGGAAAAACCTACGTTGGTCTAAAGATTGCTCAGGCACTCTTGACCAACCAGGAACTCTGGAGAGATCAACCTGACATGGCTCCGATGCTGGTTGTGTGTTACACCAACCACGCCCTGGATCAGTTCCTTGAGGGTAAGCACCGACAGCTGCTTCGTAATAACACACTTGGTTTGCTCACTTGTCACGGAAGAGGATGTTTCAATTTCAGGTACAAAGAATCTTATGTGTCAAGTGTATTTACATTCACTAAAAGGCCACAGACCTCTACTTCAGGTTATATTTAATTATTTATCCTTCTGGTCTGTTTCCTGGAATGGACAATGCAAAAAAAGCTTTCAGTGTTCTGGGATGTGACATGCATTTATTTTAACTCTGTATCTCAGGTATTCATAAATTTTTAAAAGATGGCATAGTGAGAGTTGGAGGTCGCAGCAACAGTGAGATCCTGAAGCGTTTCAATCTGAGGGAGCTGACCCATTCACCTAACTTCAGACGAACACTGCCCGGTCATCTGCGTAATGCATATAATCAGGTGAGCTCTTGCAGGTGAACTGCAGTTTGAATCTTATTTTAAAATGCTCCTCGTGTATTCCTTTTGTTCACAGAAAAGATGAAGAAAAGACTCAGAATATATAAAAAGATGAAACAGGTTTAAATAAATGCCTTTTGTTTCCTGTTAAACATCTTTTGTTTATCTAATAGGTTTTCTATTGCGTTTTTTTTTTGTCAATGATCACACAATCATTCTTTTTGCATTGTGTGGCTTGCTCACCTGCTTAACAGGTTTACAGGCAGCTGTGTGAAGAGGAGAAGGAGATCGAGGAACAGAGTATAATGTTGGAATGTTCTTTGAAAGGTGTGTTGAGGGAAAGCTTCTTACACAAGTTCATCTTGCGCCGACACTGGGACAGCCTGCATCGCCCCCCTGTGAGTCATTCTGAATAAGAAATTCACATTTTATGCATGTGAAATGAGCTTGACAGAATGAGTCCAAACTCATGAGTTTGAAATGATTTGTAGGCAATGGATGAATTTCAGACCTGGAATGAGAAGAAGCCCAACCTGATGATGGAGTGGTTGGGTTTGGGTTCCACTGTCTTCCTCCAGAGGGAGACAGAGAATGCGAATGGAAATGATGGTAAGACTTTTACTCTAAGCGGTGCTCAACTGAACAAGTGAAAGATTATTTAACCCTTTAAGACCTACCATAGAACCAAGTCCGCCAGAGCTCATATTATATAAATACATGCTGTGGAGCCATTTTTG